CAGAAACCTCATCACTGGACTCAAAGTAGTTAATTCCATCTCTCGACCATTGAAGCTTTATTGTGATAACTCAGCCGCCGTTAGTTTCTCGAACAGTAACAGTTCGACTGGCGCTGCTTTATATCTTGATACAAAGTACTTGTTCGTACGTGAGCGAGTTGAGGAAAATAAACTTTGTATTGAGCATATAAGTACTAAGAATATGCTTGCGGATCCGATGACTAAAGGTCTCCCTCCTAAGGTTTTCGAAGAACATGTTTCGAAGATGGGGTTATCTAAAGACCTTATTTAGTTGCATATTGTACTTGCTTACATTTAATAATAAAATTTCCTCATTGTTTTGTTTGTTTTGTCTCTGAATGTGTCTATGCATGCCTAAAGACATATAGACAACATTTATGTACAAAATAATGTTATGGGCTTCATTGTCAATTTGATCCTTAGCTTATTTAAGTTCTAAATTTGGTATTGTAGTATGATTAATGGGGGTCTTGAATTGAATATCGATTCAATGACTGTATTTCTTTGCTACAATTTCGGTTTAGAACTAAAATGAGTATTAAAATCTGATCAGACTTATCTAATACTCATCATAAATGATTACTCGGCCAAGTGGGAGAATGTTGGACACGATTTTATTATGTGGCCTGAGTTATCATTTATCTAATTAATTGATCATTGACCTAATAAATACCCTACGTATTTATTTGGTAATTATTCGATGGACGTAAGTACCCTTATGACCTAATTAGGGTTTCTCCTTGGGTGTATATAAATAGAGGTCATTAGGCAGAGATCAGAACACACCAATCTTACGCCTCATCTCTGCCTCTTTATTCTCGTGAGTCTCATCCTCACCTTAGCCATCATAACGATACATCCTAAACGGGAACTCGATCTGCGTGAGAATCATGGCCTCATCCCTGACTACGTTTACAGGATTATCAGGTACACATGATTAAATCCCTAATTTGTATTTTATGTTTAAGAATTGATCAACATCCTTAGCATTTTCCCTAATTTATATATGGAGGTAAGAACGATTTTTTAATAATAATTAGTTTAGATGAGAACGATTTTTTTAGTTTACGATGAGATTAGATTATATTGACATTAAAAAATCATTATTTTCATAAACTACAATAAGAACAATTTTTTTAATCATTGTGTTCGATATATTTACAAGCCACCATATAGTTTATTAACTTAATGTTTATCACTGCACTACGGGAACAATATGAGAAATGCTACAGTCACGAATATTTTGTTTACATAATGCATAAATTTGTCATTTATGTAGTGTTCAAATTTTCTTTTAAACTATTTAAAAAATTTTTTTTACTTGGTGGAGTACATATATGGCAAGTTTGTATATTTTATGATCAAAATTTTATGAATATATCATTTCTTGAACAATATACATACAACATTGAGTTATAAAAAACACTAATTTCATTATTATTATAACTATAATCAATAAATTAAAGATATAGGGACCCAAATTAAGAAATTAAACTTATTGTACTATTGCGGTGCAAATGTATTTGTTAAATCTCCTAACAATTGATTTTAACTACGCCAATGGAAATTAGTGTTCGAAAATTTTCTGTCCGTGCATCGCACGGGCATGAATCTAGTTTATAATACTCCGTAATAAAAAAGTATATTTTTTTGACTACTGTTCACATCAAATCATCCACTTGGGCTTGTCAGACCCACTCGCGTTGTCAAATCCAAGTGGACCAATGCTCGGTCAATGCCGATACCCGACTAGTCTTCAAGCCTTCTGCGGATCAAGTCACAATCTTACTCGTCTAACCCCAAACATCCACCCTGACAGATTACCGGGGAGGATGAGGTCAAGATTGGTCAAACCTTGGTACCTTTCGAGTTGCCTGAAAAATGCTAAAAAGTAACGTACATTCAAATAGATAGGTCTTAGAGATTGTAGCAAATGTCACATATATCTTGATGGCGAGAAGGTGAGGTGCACATTCAACAATCTCCATGCTCAATATGTTGCAGTGGAGAATACCACCAACTCTAAGAGCATGGTCGATTTTATCATGTTTTACTTTATTGAGTCCATGCTTTTGGCTAAAGATAAATCC